TCATGGGAAGGAAATTCAGGCTGGTTCCTGGTAAATATGGTGAGTCAGGCAGAGCAATGCCAAGTTGATTTGCCTAGCAAATTCCAGAGAAAGCAGTGGTCAGAAGGGGTCTCTGGCTATTTTAGTCCATCACCTGGCAAAGGTACTGGAACCTATAGGTGCTCAATAAATATTTACCAAATGAATGCATTTCATCCTCAAAAAAAAAAAAAAAAATCATGTGGCATAGCCAGGACATTGATAACAAGGCAAATGAATATAAGGGAACCCCTAGTGGGGAGTTCCAGTCCCTGACAAGATGGCCAATACTCAGGTTATAGGCCCTCCCCACCAAGCACAGTACTGAGGATGCCATTGGAGGGACAGAATAGATGGCTGAGTGCAGTGGGGAATAGTGTTGAAAGGGAGTGCTGAAGTAGCACTTTCTGGTTTCACTCCTTCTTATCACTCATGTTGCCCTGATATGATCATTGCTTAGACATTTCTACTATGGAGCAGGGAAGTCCAGAGAGCAGAACAGAGTAACTTCAGAGAAGCCCCAGCACCTGGCTGTGGAGGGGAGCTTAGAGCAAAGACTGCCTCTGAGCTGGCTGGTCCTTGAGATTTCTCCTGCCATCTACCCCATGGGCCTGGCAATTACAAAAGAGAGTAACAGTCCCAATCCCCCATGCAGAGCAGTGCCAGCCATTAAGACATGAGTACTGGGTTCTGGAGGTACTAAGTATACCTCAGGGGAACCTGAGGACAGGTAGAACACAAGCTAAATCACTGTAGACTCTCTGGCCTGGAACTTTCCACCCTGAAAAGCTCCTCCTCCCCACCTGAACTTACTTGGAGAAGCACAAACTACAGTGAAGCTTTCACTGTCTTCCCACGGAAAGATAAAGGCCAAGGCTGCAACAGCAACCCAAGAAAATAAGACATCCCAAAGGAGAAAATTAGGAGAAATCTGAGGGGCACAAGTTCCGGGAAAGAAAGGCAACAAAGGGAACAACATGTACCATAGAAAATCTCACTAATGCCACAGAAAGAACAAGAGTTGAGAATAAGCATAACAAATATCCTTAGAAAGATTAGAGAGGCTGGTAGAAACATGAATCAGTCAAGTCAGGTGGTTATGAAGAAGCCCCAAATGAAGAGAGTCGGTATGGAAAGTTTAATTGTTGAAATAACACAGCCAATGCGTTGAATCGCAGAAAGGACTCAAGACCGAGCGAGTGCAAGTTTGGGTGAGAGACTTCCAAAAGGCATCAAAAGCCAGGAAAGAAGTTGAAAAATGAGAAAACTTAAAAGACTGAAAGAAGAGAAAGAGAAATTGTGACAACTACTTAAAAGGAGTCCCAGGCAGAGAAAAAACTAAATGAAGGGAAAAAAATACTTGAAAATATTTATTAAAAAATCTTACTGTGTGTACTGCTCTAGTACAGGACGTCAGTAGTGGGGCAGGCTATGCATATGTGGGGTCGGGGTACACAGAAAAGCTCTGCACCTTCCACTCATGCTGCTGTGAACTTAAAGCTTCTCTAAAAAATCAAATCTGTGTTATAAAAGTCTCTGAAAAAAATAATTAGTAGAAAGTGGAGGATAGAGAGGTCAAAAAAAAAAAAAAAAAAGAAAATAGTGCAGAATGATCAACAGATTGATCCCAAGAATGTAAAGATGGATAAATATCAGAAAAATGTATTAATGTAATTCATCACAATAATAAAAAAGAGAAAGGGGTATGTTTTTAACAGGTACAGAAAAGTATTTGGTGAAAAATATTTTTTAATAAATAATATTTTACAAAAATAAACCTAATTGGAAACTATGAAGAAACTAAAATGTTTTAGGTTTTTAAAGACTTGGTACCAAAAACCTTCAGCAAATATCATCTTAATAAAGATATATAAGCACAGTCTCCTTAAAATTTGCAACAATGAAAACAAAAGGAAATAAGAGATTTAAAGATTGAAAGGAGGTGATTTTTTTTTTGGAAAAAAAATTTTATGCTTATTTCTGATAGAGTGCAAGTGGGTGAGGGGTAGAGACAGAGAAAGAGAGAGAGACAGAATTTGAAGCAGGCTCCGGGCTCTGAGCTGTCAGAGCAGAGCCCAGTGTAGGACTCAAACTCATGAACCGTGAGGTCATGACCTGAGCCAAAGTCGGATGCTCAAACAAATGAGCCATCCAGGTGCCCCAGAAGGAGGGGATGCCTAACTGTGCAGCTAATAAGATTACTAAGTGGAAAGTTCAACAAAGGCAACAGACAAATTATTAGAACTAATTAGAAACTTTAGCAGTTTACCAGAAATAAGAATGACACACACAAATGGTAGAAAAAGCATTAGAAAATAAGATGTTATTTAAATAGCAGAATAACATGTATAAAGTGTCTAGGAATTAGCCTGTAACAAGGAATGCATAAAAACCTTAAGAAGCTATTTTTAAAACTCCATTGAAAGATATAAAAGAGGATCTGGGGCGCCTGGGTGGCTCGGTCAGTTAAGCGTCTGACTTTGGCTCAGGTCACGATCTTGCAGTTTGCGAGTTCAAGCTCCATGTCAGGCTCTGTGCTGACAGCTCAGAGCCTGGAACCTGCTTTGGATTCTGTGTCTCCCTCTCTCTGCTCCTCCCCCGCTCATGCGCGCGCTCTCTCTCTCTCTCTCTATCAGAAATAAACTTAAAAAAATTTATTTTACAAAGATACAAAAGAGGATCTGAAAAATTTCAATTAAACAGCATATTTATGAATGGAACAAATTAACACTGGAACACCATCATTTCACCTTGAATTAAACTATAAATTTAACTTAATTCCAATAAAAAATAACAGCTGGAATTTCTGGGGACTCTGATAAACTGATTCAAAAGCTATATGGAAGAATAAAGTGTCATAAATATCCTGGACCACTTTGGAAAATGAAGAGCAAAATGAGGAGGGGAATTTACCAACCAAATAGACATCACAGAGCCTAGTAGTATGAGCAGTGTGTTCTCGCAAAGAAGCTGACCCCAGACATAGACCCATTAAATATATGGAACTTGGTGTATGGAACTTAGGGATAGTATCCATTAAATATATGGAACTTAGGGATAGTATCACATTTGGAAAAATTGACTCAAAGTGTGGAAAATATAATAAAATCTATTCCCCTTAATAATTGTATTCCCTTAGCTAGATTTGGATTAAAAACTTAAATGTGGCAGGTAAAAACCAGAAGCCAAGAGGAGAAAATGTAATTGAGTATCTTCATGATCCCAAGATGGAAGGATTTCATAAACAAGACTCAAAATGCACAAGCCAGGGGCACCTGGGTTGCTCAATAGATTAAGCATCTGACTCTTGATTTTGGCTCAGGTCATGATCTCCCCATGTCAGGATTCTCCCTCCCTCTCTCTCTGCCCCTTCCCCATTCGTGAGCACACTCTCTCCCTCTTTCTTTCTCTCTCAGAAATAAACACTTTTTTTAAAAACTGCACAAGCCATAGATAATTTACCTAAATCAAAGTAAATATTTATGTGCAAACATATCATAAAGTTATCAGACTTAAAAAGCTGAAATACAATATTTCTAGTGTTGAAAGCTGACAAATGATTGATATCTAGAATATAAAACCTATTTCTGTAAATCAGAGAAAAGACAGGAAACTCAACGGAAATAATGAGTTAAGTATATGAGCAGGGAGTTCACAGAGGGGGAAGTCAGAATGCTAGTAACATATGAAGAAAAGCTCAGCATCATAAGAAATCAGAAAGCAAAAACAAAACCGTAGTTAAAAACTGCTTTGCATCTACCAGATTGGCGAAAATTAGAAAGTCAGAGATACCAAGTATTGGTGGGGAAATAAGAATCCTTACGCTTTGCTTTTCTTTAAAAAAAATTTTTTTTAATGTTTATTTTTGAAGGAGAGAGAGACAGAGTATGATTGGCGGGGGGGGGGGCGCGTCCAGAGAGAGAAAGGGAGACACAGAATCTGAATCAGGCTCCAGGCTCTGAGCTGTCAGCACAGAGCCCGACGCAGGGCTCGAACCCACAATCTGCAAGATCATGACCTGAGCCCAAGTCAAAGCTCAACTGACTGAGCCACCCAGGCGCCCCTCCTTATGCTTTTCCTGTTGGAGTGTCAACTGATTGGCTATTTTAGAGATCACTCTGGCTGTGTTTAATGAAATAATACATGTATTTATACTTGAGCAGCTCTGTGCAGATATATCCAGAGACACTCTTGGGACAGGGACACATGAGAATATGGAAGAGAATGTTCATTGCATCCTTGTTTGTGTTAGCAAACAGCTGGAAGGAACTGCCTGATTGTCGCTTGGACAGAAAAAGATTTGAGGTAGCAGTCAGAAGGAATAAGCTGGATTTACATATAGCAGCAGGATGGACATATCCCAGAAATATAATATTAAATGGGAAAGAAAAAGTAAGAAAAAGCATTATATTTACTCCGAGCACATTTCATGAAAATACAAAGCACAAACACAAAGCAACACTAATTTTCAAGGATACGTAGATCTCTAAATAAACATATGGGAGGTAGATTAGAAGGATGCATATTATATTCATTACAGCAGGCACCTTTGGGGAATGGAAGATGAAGAGGAAAATAATAACTACACAGGGTCCTTGCACTGATGCCAATTCAGATTTGTTGAAAACAAATATGAAGTCCTTTTTTTTTTAAATAAAGTTCATTTTATTTATTTATTCTGAGGCGAAGGAAATGGGGGAAGGCAGAGAGAGGGGGAGAGAATCCCAACCAGACTCCTCACTGTCAGTGCAGAGCCTGACACAGGGCTCGAACCCACGAACTGTGTAATTATGACCTGAACTAAAATCAAGAGTTGGACGCTTAACCAACTGAGCCACCCAGGCACCCCCCCACCCCGCCGCCAAATCTGAAGTTCTTAAAAAGAAATTGTTTTTTTGGAAAACTTTGCTGGGATTAGTTGTTTTTTATATCTTTATCCACCTGTGAATTTGTTTTTGTCTTTCCCCCTTTTCCCCATTAAGAGTTGTTGGCTCCTCGTCAGGTCTCTGCAAACTCAGAGGGCGTGGACAACATGATGGTGACCTGGGAGCCCCCTGGGAAAGCCGCCCCTGCTGTCCAGGAGTATGTAGTGGAATGGAGGGAGCCCCATTCTGGGAGTGACACTCAGCCCCCTCTAAACTGGCTGCGGAGCCCCCCCTACAATGTGTCCGCTTTGATTCCAGGTATTTAATTGTTCACCTTCCTTTTGGAGAGTTACTAAGCTCACATTTTTTGGAGGAAGTCACAGGTGGGAACCCAGAACCTTCTTCAGTTTACAGGCGGCTGCATAAGAGGAATAGTAATGACCTAGGGTCCTTCAGGACAGCACCTCAGAGTATACCACTGCAGGCATAGAATACCAACTGATTGACTAAAATCTCTAGTGTTTATGGAAAATTCATGTGCCTGGCACAGAGCCGTATATGCCAAATGCATCATTGAACCAAACAAACATGGCTGAGAGCTAAGTAGTAATCAGTCAGTGTGATGGGCACCTTTCACTTAGGAGTTTAGGTAATTCTCAGAACAATCTTATGTAGCAACTACTGTAGTCATTGTACAGATGAGGAAACCAGGAGATCTTTCATTACCAATTCTGCATAGTATTTGTGTGATAATAAATCCAGAATTATCTATGTGATAATTAGCATCTCTAGACCCCAAATCCAAATACGTCAGTAGTTACAATCAAGTGATAGAAGGCATCTGAAAATTTATTAAAATGATTGGACAGAACTTAGTCAATGTCACTTTTAGGAATAAGTTCAGCAGAGTAGCTGAAAGTCCAGGTTCTGTGGGTTTGAGTCCTGGCTCTGTCCCTAGGCTGTGTGACCTAGGGCAAGTTATTTAACTTCTCTTTATCTCAGTTTCTTTATCTGCAAAATGGGCAAAATAATATTGCCTACCCCATTGGGCTATTGTGAGGACTAACTGAATTGATGTAGAGAAAACATTTTGAATAGTGCCTAACACATTTTAAGTACCTGATAATTTAGCTGTCATTGTTGTTATTATATGTGACAGGGCTAACATTCTTACAGGCTTGCAAGCTCTAAATTCTATAATATTTTTGTTACACCATGGCAATCATTACACCTGCCCAGGAGGATATACATGCCCTGCTTACGGAGACAAGACAGATGAAATAAGCAGAGCAGAACATGTGACAACACATGAGCTAGTCATTAACTGTGTGCCTCTTTTATACTGTAGCTGCTCAGATTTCTAGTGGGTTGCATTCGGTTTTAATCACTACACTTAAAGTCAATGTTGTCTAGATAACCCAGTGAACATCAAAGGAAGATGAGAACAAGTCATTGGAGGTCTGGAACTTTTAATGTGGGAACCATTTAGCCTGTAGAAGAGAATTCTAGATGGGGGTGGGAGGTTTGATGGCTGTTGCTGGCTTTGATGTATACATGAGAAAGAGTATGTGTCCTTTGTTGCTCTGGAGAACACAACTAAATCCTCTATGTGGAAATTATAAGGCAGATGTCAGCTCAATTTTGAGAAAGAAATTTCCTTACACATGATGGTCTCTAATAAGACAATTGATTGGCCCTCAGAGTGGTGCATTACCTGTCACTAGAATTGTTGAAATAGGACCAACTTCCCTTTAGGGCTGTTATGCCCATCAAATCAAATGTAACAGTGTAACTCTAAACTGCTACGAAATTGTAAACGCTTATTATAAACTATATTAGGATTTACCTCTGTGGGATACTTTGAGCCCTGTGGTCCCTACAGTTTCTTCCTTTTAGAAATTCTGTAATATTACCCAAATACCATAAAAGAGATGACAGGAGAGAATGTTTTTCATATTTAAGATATTAAATTATTTTTAAGCACTTTATAAATACTCATTTGAATGAAATCAGTATGATATTGGGTGAAATAATTTTACTAATTAAAGTTGTTCCCCTGCTTGAAAATATTTGGTTAGCTATTAGTGTTGATGTTACATTCTGGAAATAAACACTTAACAAATTAAGTAATTCATACTTATGAATTCAATATGGTGCTCTCCAGTCAGTAAGGTGACTCATTGCCTTCGGATCCTTACCAGCCTTTTCTCATCATCTGGCTAGGGCAGAGTTGGGTGTTTTGGAATATATCCTGAAGGTCAGAATACCATCCGGCTCCTAGATTATAGGTTTATGGGCCCAGGCTAGAGACTGTCAGCCCTGTCTTGTGTGGGTAAAAATGGTTCTGACCAAGGGCGCCTGGGTGGCGCAGTCGGTTAAGCGTCCGACCTCAGCCAGGTCACGATCTCGCGGTCCGTGAGTTCGAGCCCCGCATCGGGCTCTGGGCTGATGGCTCGGAGCCTGGAGGCTGTTTCCGATTCTGTGTCTCCCTCTCTCTCTGCCCCTCCCCCGTTCATGCTCTGTCTCTCTCTGTCCCAAAAATAAATAAAAAACGTTGAAAAAAAAAAATTAAAAAAAAAAAATGGTTCTGACCATATAGATCCACTCCTTATATAAATATGTAGATATCTATCTGTAGATGTCTAGAAATACCTTCCCTGATGCCTAGGCTATTTGGGTCCCTCTTCTGCATGCTCCCACTGGACTTCCTCTATGATCATTCTTCATTACTGATCATTTAATGTTTGTCTTCTCCCAAATTTAATAGGTGAAATTAGCTTTCTGCAAAAAACCCACCATAGCTATAGTTTAAAAACATGGAACAGAGCCTTGTCCAAGGGTGCCAGGTATATATGTATGCACGTGAGTAGTGGGAAATAGGCCTGGAAGTTGGGGCCAGACTATAGAAAGAAATAAAAAAACTTAGGAATGTGGACTTTGTGCACTGGACGGCAAAACTAAGGAATTTGGAGCTAATGATTAGGGTGTGTTTGTGTAAGAATTAGCCAATAAAACAGGGGTCCTTAAGGTCAGAACCAGGGAACAAGCTTATTAGGGCTCTCCTCTGCATGCAAAGGGAAAAGTCAACTAAGTTATGGATCCACATTTTCTTCCCTCCTCCACTAAGGTGGGCTATTCACAAAAAGAAGCCACAGCTTCTGATGCAGCAGTCCCAAAGCCTCTGCCCTGAACTCACATTTTGCACGGCAAAATGCAGTGATACTATTTGCCTAATGAGCTCGTCTGGAATTCCCACAGCTATACACAGGCACAGTGGTTGGCCGGATGCTTCCAGGGCCAGCGACAGCAGCCAGGCCCTAGCCCCTCCCAGATGAAATATGATTCCTTATTCCTTGTTGCCCTTTTGGCTCCTGGGTCTGCATGCCACTGTGAAGAAGCTTTGGATGACTGGACTAAGCTCACTGTGGCCTTTTCTCTGTATCACCTGGTTCATGAATATGAATGGGAACTCACCATGGCATGAGTTCGGATCTCCTTGTGGTCTCTTCCAACAGTATTGGTTACACATCTGAGGTTTCTGTAGGGCACTTGCTGGAATGTTTAAGGAACAATGGATTTTCATGTAAAACACACCTTATTTAGTAAATTATTCTGCGATACAAAATTCCTCTTCCCCCAAAATAAAATGTTAAAATTGTCAGTGTAGGGGATCAGATCTGCATTAAACAATATGGGAGACAGCCCTTACTCTGACCACATAATCCTATCATTGCCTAGTAGGGATTCGCTCTCTTTTCCCTTTAAATTTCCATTGCGAATTTAAAGATCTGTCCTGGGCAGTGTTTATGAGAAGGGCCTTTTCTTTACAGGAAGTAGAATCTAAAATTCATGGAAATAAGGAATTTTGACGGGAAAGAGCAACTCGCCAGCAAACTTCATGACTCACAGAAAATTGCAAAGTGTGGCATTTTAAAAGCTAGGAAGGGGCAGTAACGTTCCTAGGTATCCTCCTCATCTCCAGGCTGTCAAGCAAGTGAAATGTGACTGTATAGAGGACAGAGGGGAGGGCGGGGGGGGGGCGGAGAAGGGAAGAACAAGGGGTTGGATTACACTGAGCATGCCCTGGTTAGAATGTGCCATCCCGCTGCCTGTCAGATCCCCAAAAGCGTCTGTGGAGTTAGGAGAGGGTTCAGGTTCAAAACAACAGTCGCACTTCTCTGCAAATAGCAAATGATTTGCTTGTAGAAGTCGGTGGGTTTTGCGGGGTTTTTTTTGTTTTTTGGTTTTTTTCCTTGTGAGTTTTGTTTCAAAAGCAGTCTCTGTGGTTATATTTAAATCTTTGTTGGAAATGGAATAGCTTTTGTCTCCTTAATCATGTTGACCCCGGAAAGAAGCTTCAGGTCTGCCTGTTGGCTCACCTTGAGGTGAACTTGAGAGGTAGGAGCAGTTGCTTCCAGAAGCCAGCAACTTGGCAAACAGGATGCTGAGATTTTGTGACTTAGGTCATCCCTTCACCCTCAGTCCAGAAATTTTTAAATGTCTCCCTTTAGTGACTCACATGTGATGCCAAACCTGTTGTAAGAACTCCCTTTTCCTTGCAGGGAACATAAAACCCTACAGCTGTTATGAAATCTGCGTGTGTGCACTGTCGGGGGACCAGAGAGGATGCAGCTCCATCCGGAGTAACTCTAAGCACAAAGGTGAGCCTTGGAACCTTTTGCCGAATTTTACTTTAGTTCAATAGTTTGGATTTAAAGGGTGACAAAAGCTTTCTGTGTTCTACTTTGCAGCACCACTGAGTGGCCCCCACATTAATGCCATCTCAGAGGAAAAGGGGAACATTGTAATTTCATGGAACGAAATTCCAGCCCAGGAGCAAATGGGTTGCATCCTCCATTACAGGATATACTGGAAGGAACAGGACTCTAATTCCCAGCCTCAACTTTGTGGTATGTGTGAGGCACAAATGCAGTGGGGCCTTTCTTATTTAGATGTTGGGAAAACACAAGTATGCGCATGTGCATACATACACACAGGTGCTAACACTGTGACTGGCACATAGTAGGTGCTCAGTAAATATTTGTGAAATTAATTGAGTGAAAAAAAATGGAAGATATCTAAACACACACGTACACAGAGTTACTGACTATATGTTATGTGCCAAGCAAATTGAAGAAATGAAGGTAATGGACTAGGCTCTCAAGGAGCTACTCACATGGGGAGATATTTCAAAAAGCAGTAACAGCTGGGGTGCCTGGGTGGCTCAGCTTGTTAAGTGTCCAACTTCAGCTCAGGTCATGATCTCATGGTTTGTGGGTTCAAGCCCCACGTCGGGCTCTATGCTGACAGCTCAGAGCCTGGACCCAGCTTCAGATTCTGTGTCTCCCTCTCTCTCTGCTCCTCCCCCACTCATGCTCTGTCTCTCTCAAAAATGAATCAGTGTTAAAAAATTTTAAAAAGAAAAAGCAGTAACAGCACATCAGTACTATTATATAGACCCTTGAGGTGTGTAAGGGATGAGTTAGAACTTCTGAATCCCCCACATTTGCAAACACTATCATAGCATATTATTTTCTCCTTAAAATGGGTAAAATACAATACAGTTAGGTAGCTTCTTATGACCCATAATTATTCTATAACTATAAAAATCTAAAGCAATTAAATTCTGGCTAGAACATTATCTCAAATGATTTCATCTCTCATTTATGTAGCAGCTCCAAGTCACTTGCCAGATATGATGTTCTAATCTTTGATTTATTCAGAGTTGTTATGGGTTTTTTTCCTGGCTTGACCTTCTTTTTATTTCATAAGCAACTGGCTTTCTTTCAGGAGCATTTATCATAAAGAAGCAACATTTTTTAACTAACTTGAGAATAAAGAGAAATAAGGAAGCAATATTTTTATTCCTTCATGAGAGCTGTTAGGTCCAGGAAGAATGTAACCTGAGATGTGGGTGCCAGAGAGCTGCCTGCAAGATTGATTTTTACCTGGAAAACTTTAGAAGTTGGTCCTTTCTCTTGACCTTAGAAAATCTTCAGTATTGCTTTTCTGAAAGTTATGACTTTTAATGCTAGTTAATTTTTATTATGTAAATACAACTTGCACATAGTAAAAGCACCTAAATAGTTCAGAAAGATACAAAAATGTAAATTATCCCTTCCTCCATACTTAGGCTGTTAGCAGTTCTTTACATGCTCTTCCAGAAAAAAACAAAACAAAACAGAAAAATTAATGCATATATTTAGGGTAATCATCTGCATTCTGATCTACACTTTGCTTTTACCTCTCAATAATACAGGCTGGACCTCTTTCTGCATCAGTCCATATGGATTTGCCTCATTCTTTTTGAACAGCTCTATAGAATTCCATTATAAGGCCTCACAATCTGTCAATTAATCCACCACTAATGAACAGCACATATCTTTGAACAGAACCACTTTGGGCCCGTCAGGGTCAGTTATTTCTGAAATGCACCCCAGAACATGACGAATTGATTGACCGCTTCCTGGGCCATTTGGACACCCCCCGCTTTGCATTTTAGCAGAATTGAAACCAAGATGTCTGTTTACAATCAGCATGGTCAGTTGGTTCTTAGAGCTACTCTTGTACATGTTGAAGAAACTACGTATCTTATTTTACCACAAATCTGATGAATCTGAAGTTTATATAAGGGCATTTTAAAATAAATTAAAAGGAGAGGAGGTGCATTGACAGCCTGGAGCCTGATTTGGATTCTCTCTCTCTGCCCTACCCCCACTGGCACTCGTGCTCTCTCTCTCTCTCAAAATAAATAAAAATTAAAAAAAATTTTTTTTTTTAAGGAGAGGAGGTGCAGATTCAAAGTCTACTTCACACCAGTTTTCCTTTTATTCAGTAAGCATTCATTGATGAATTAGACCTGTCTTCAGAGAGCTCAATCTACCAAGGGAGGTGGAAAAGCACACAGAGTGATGTAACCATTGTAATCAAGGACTGACAACTACCTATTGTATTTGGCAACTAGAAATCATTGGCAAAGCCACAGGTGCAGTCTCCAGAGAGTGGTAGAGAGCAGTAGGTTGAGGAGGAGGGAGAAAGACACCAGAGAGAGAGGCATTACAAACTGAAGAGAAGGATGGCGAGCCAACGAGGAAGGGGGCCCTGTCCTATGTGTCTGGGAGCTGTCCACTGGGCAGCAGCACTGTGGCCACACGCAGAATGAAGTTGGAGCACTCTGCCCTGCCTGAGCAGAGGAGAGGGCTACACCTGGGGCGGAGCATCCGCATTTTAGTGCCTCTCTCAGGTGGTTCCGGTTCACAGCCACTCCTCTGGAAATGTGTTGATGCTGCCATGTGCACCAATAGCACATTTCTCTACTGGCACACATGTTGGGTTTTGTTACTACTTGGCCGTTTTTGTCAACAGACTCTGAGCATCATGAAGGCAGAGGCCAGGGCAATTTGCTCACCATTGTCTCCGCGTACCAGGCATACAGGAATGAATACTGCCCTACTCTTTGTTACACCAATGTAGATTGTTAGGTAATAACTAGTTTCCAGTAACAATGTGCCTGTTTTGTCTGGTACCACTTGACTTTCTTACCTGCAGCCTTTCAAATGATTGGCAACTATCCCATCTTCCTAAACTGGTGCCTCATTTAACCACCCTGAGCCTCAAGTTTCAGCCCCCCACGGATTGAATGCCCACCTTTATCTCTGCTGGTGATCACAGCCCAGACCAGGCAGCAGAACCGGAATTTCCTGCATGACTTCTTTCTCCCATTTCTCAACCAGGTCTATTTTGCTAGCCAAACTGAGAGAGCCATCACCCTCCTCACTGCTCCCTCCATAGAGTTTCTGTTTTTATTCTCCAAGTATACATATGTGTGTGTGTTTGTGTATAAACTTTTTTGGCCCAGCAAACCTTTCAAGACCCTTCCTTTCTGTTCTGAGGTCTCATTTCACTCTGAGTTAAGGGTGCCTTCACACAGTCGGATGGTTGACTCTGATGCTCACTGATGCTTTGCTGCAGCAAGATGAGAGAAGGTCTCTCCAAAATTAACTTTTTAATCCTCTGCCATAGGAATAAAGACAGAGTTCTTTTTAGTTTAATCACATAGTTTAAGTCTGTGCGAATTCATCAGGTTAGAGTAGGCTTGGAAATTTTCCACATGGTACTTTTTCTCAACAGGATGTTGAATATAGGGGTACCTAGGTGGTTCAGTCAGTGAAGTGTCTGACTTCCACCCAGGTCATGATCTCACAGTTTGTGGGTTTGAGCCCCACATCGGGCTCTCTGCTGATAGCTCAGAGCCTGGAGCGTGCTTCGGATTCTGTGTCTCCCTCTCTTTGCCCCCCCCCCAACATGCTGTCTCTCAATAAATAAACATTTAAAAAATTAAATTAAAAAAAAGGATGTTGAATATAGAAATTGCTCTGATAGTCACAGCTGTTAAGTGATGTGCTTAGGCCCCTTTGGATGGATATTACAGGACTCCTTGCTGGTCACCCATAGTAATCAGGGGTGGGGGGAAGTATAAGGGCTCTCTCTGTTTTCTCTACTAGCTGGTGAACTCTTTGAGGCAGATTCTGTGCCTTTGTATACTTGGTGACTTATCCAGAGCACAAGCTCAATAAATATTTGTGACTGTGGAAATAAATTTAGCAAACAGGAGCATTGTCTGACCTGCCCTGGGGTTTTTGAGCTGGTAACTGAAGTTGAGGCTCAAAAGTGCTGGGTTCAAGTTTCCACTTTGATCACCCACACAGGTGCATGTCAGCTGAGGGAGCCAGCAGGTTACTCCTGCCAAAGTTCTGCCCTTGATCTTCTAGTCCTCCTGCCTCGCAGCCCTGGCTTTTGAGAAGTCAGTCCAAACCTTACACCCAGCAGATCACTGGAAAAGAAGATTGCCTATGTACTACAGGAGGGAAAAAACATCAGCGTGTTGCTCAAAAAACCCAAAATCTTCCCTGCTGAAACTCTGCAGGGGTGTTGAGAGTGTAAGGGACTGATAACCTAGTTAAACTGCCAAATAAATCCAATGTACGTGCCACTGATCTCAATTTTAGATTTTATGTCAGATTGAAGCAGATCATCATGTTAAACTCATTAAGACCAGTATCTAGAACCTACCCCAAAAAAGCAGAAAATCAAAATTAATGTTAAATGTCTATTTCATTAATTGCCTAACTTAGCTTTCTTAAAAATTCCACTGAAAACAATTGGTGTATTTAATTTCCTCCCCAAGAGTTCTCAAATATATCTAATAAATGTTGGAAACAGTATAGTCATAGGAAATAAAGGAATTACTACAGCTGAGTAATTTCAAAGCAGAATGATGAAAGTTCTTTCAAAAGATTTTGCCACAGAAAATTATTTTGGTATGTTGTAGAGTGAGACCTCCGTAAATGACAGTGTCTAGGGCCTAGCAAAATATTAAGTACTAATGAATTAGTAGTTTTAAAAAATTAGTTTTAAAACAGCAATGTGCTTTTCTCTTTCAAATTAAAACATTAACAACAACAAAAATAAGTAAAAGCCCACATTCAAATAGTTCCTGTAACATGTGCCTTTCTTCTATCTTTATCCTCCCTTCAGAAATTCCCTATAGGGTATCCCCAAATTCACATTCAATAGACAGCCTGCAGTCCGGAGTAAGATATGTCCTGTGGATAACAGCTCTGACAGCTGCTGGTGAAAGCCCCCCAGGAAACAAGAGGGAATTTCATCTGCAAGGTAGGAAACAACTTTATTTTTTTTTTAATCTTTTTTAATTTTTTTTATTTTTTTTTTATTTTTTATTTTTTATTTATATATGAAATTTATTGTTGGAAACAACTTTAAAGATGGCACAGCCACCCTGGATTCTTACCTAGGTGTATACTCCCACTATGTTTGGCATGGAGATTATCAGATTTTCTTTAATTCATTAATTACTTTCTTGCTGTTCCATCTTTGCACTTGCTGTTTCCTTTAGCTGGACTGCCCTACCACTGCGTAGAGAAAGTATCTACTTATTTTTCAAAACTCAGCCAAAGTGTTTCCTCCTCCAGGAAGCCTTCCCAAGTGCACCTCCGTAATTCCTCCATAATGCACTACATTTGACCCCTCTTCAAAACACGGAATCCAATAGGCAGGAACTGGTATCTGTTTATCTTCAAGGTCTGGTTCGGTGCCGAGGACATAGTACTTGTTCACTAAATATCTGTTCAGTGACCAATGAGAATAATCTCAACAATAACAATGGCAGCTATTGCCTATCAGGTAGTTACTATGCACCAGTCGTTGTGTTCAGTGCTTTGCACACTGTACTGGTTTGCTGGGGCTCTTGTAACAAAGTGCCACAAACTGTGTGGCTTTAACAACAGAAGTTTATTTTCTCACAGTTCTGGAAGCTGGAAGTCTTGAGTTCAAGGTATCAGCGGGCTTGTTTTCTTCTGAGGACTATGAGAGAATCAGTTCCCTGCTTCTCCTCTCATCTGGTGGCAATCTTTGGTGTTCTTTGGCTTATAGATCTCTGCTTTCATCTTCACATGGAGTTTTCCTTGTGTGTGTCTCTTTGTTCAAATTTCCTCATTTTTAAGGACACTGATCATGGTGAATTAGGGCTACTTACACCAGTTTGACCTCATCTTAACTAATTACATCTGCAATGATCCTGTTTCATAATATGGTCACTTTCTGAGGTCCTGGAGGTTAGGACTTCAGTGTATGGATTTTTGGGGTAAAAGGACACATTTCACCCTTCATGACACGTACTTTTACTCATTGAATCCTGACCTCAACCACGCAAGGTGCCTGCTTTACACTGTTGTACCTGGTCACATAGTATCAGGCACTCAATTCAAAATGAATAAAGGAACAAGGGATTAGGATGCCTTTTTACAAGGTTCAGAATGTACAGAAAGATTACCCAAAGTCATGGAAGTGTCAAGTGGCAGAACTACAAATCAAACTCAGATTTAGTTACTTGAGTTAAATTTGAGTGACCTAGCAAACATGGGCTTCTCTCCACTGGCTAAATTGTGATGTTCTCTCTGGCAGCTCGTGCCTGCATCTTGCTCCAAGCATGAAACAAGCTGTTCTTGCTTTGCAACATGGAGTATCAGGTTGATCATTTAGGACTTTGTTGTTCTATGCCCGGTACTTCTCCACTGGGAAAGTTGACAAACCCTCTTCTCATCTTCTAGCACGCTAGCACGAAAGTTAACTTGTGAGCAATTAATCAATTAAAACTCAGCATCTTTCTACCTGTGGTACTCCATACTTGCCCCATCTGCCCAGGAAGGAAGACAGATGCTAAAGAAATGTCAGATTGTGCTGATTGCGTGGGGTGGTAACACAACTGCCTGCATCAACACCCTGTTCAGCCCTGGTGACACGCCTGCTAGTCCCTCCCTGCTCACGCTCCTCCTGAACCTGTCCTGCACTCTACCAGAAGAATCTTTCTGCAAGATACCTTGCTCCATGTTGACATCCCACCTCCATCGCAGCCCATCAGTGGTTCCCCAGGGACCTTGAAGCTAGAATTCAAACTGCTTCGTCACCAAGCCCCGCATTATCTGCTCCTGTTCACCCATCTAGCTTCGTCCTCTACCACACGCTCATCTTTCATACTTGAAAGTGTGACCAGACTACCTGGAGTTGCCTGAAGGTTCCATGCCTTTGTATAGTTCTGTCTAGTCTGCTTCCCTAACTTGACTGCTTTGCTGGCTCCACCCTCCAAACCTGAACTTTTGACATCATGCCTTTTGGGACAACATCCTGGGCTGCCCTTGGGATTATTTCCCATGCTGTTCCCTGCTACACTGCCTTGTACATGCCTTTTGTAAAAATGCATATCCCATGGCATCATGATTTATTTACATGTTTATGCATCTATCTCCTGGACTAGATTAATGACTTAAGACAACAGAGTCCATGTCCTCCTCATCTTTGTATCCCAGCACCTAAAAGGGCCTGATACATGGTTAATAATAATGAATGAATAATAATTATAATAATAAAGAATATACTACTAATAATAAATGGATGAATTAATGAAGAATCCCAACACATAGCAAAATACATCTTCATAGCAAGGAATCCAAACAATTTCAAAGACCCTAGTTAGAAGGCTTATCCAGTGGTTTGTTAAAATCAGTAATACCATTTCTCAAGGGCTTCCTATGTTCAGATGCATTGCCATGTGCTTTATATACACCATCTCTAATCTTCACAACAACCTGCAGGGCAGATGTCATCATTCACCTTTTGTAGATCAGGAATCTGAAGTCCATTGATCACATAACAGTGGAAAGTCAGGATTAGAATTCAGGGCTCCCAGTTCACAGCCAGTGCTTGGAACACCACACTCACTTTCTTTCTGCCCCTGTTAGAGGAAGGAGCCCCTTCCTTAGAACCATAGAACTGGATCCCTTAGGGCCCTTCTCCCTAGCTGAAAGAAGAAAAACAAGTTGGCCTTTTTCCTGAGCCCATCTAGCTAGCCAGTAGCTGTGGGTAGGTGCCAGAGGGTTCATGCAAGTGAGTATTTTAAGATGTTCCTTGAAGATAACTTAGTCACAGGGTTTGCTAACTTTTCAGGTAAAGCCAATTGGAGTGTGTTTGTGGCACCAAGCATTTGCGTTGCTGTCGTCATAGTGGGCATTTTCTCAACGCGTTACTTCCGGCAAAAGTGAGTTGGTTACATTTTCCAATTTCAGCAATGTGATTTTTTTAAAATGACAATAGCTGTTGCCACTATGAGTCAAAGAAACGGACGTTCTCATACATTGCTGGTAGCAGACTAAATTTATTCAACTTTCTTGGACAACAGTATTATGTTAAATTTTTTTTAAAGTTTTAAAATAGACCTATGACCTATCAATTCCTAACTGGAAATTTAGTCTAAGTATATGCAGATATTTAATGGCAAATACGTTCACTGAAGTATTGTTCGTTGAAGGAAAATATGAAATAACCTGAATGTCCAGTGAGATGAGGTTGTTTTACTACATCACATTATCTCATGCTGTATAGCATATTATATCCATTAAAGACAGAAAATAAAATGATATATTTGTAATATTACATTTTAAAAAGGTTGCAAAGCAGTATGTACTTTAAAAAGTACATGTACACACGCATACCTATATGTAAGACAGACCATTTAGCATTAAATTTGGTTCTATATGCCAAATAATAGAACTTAAACTAGCTAGCCCTGGACTTTCTCGCCCAGGCTAAGGAAGTAAATTCAGGTTAAGGGCTGGTGTGGTAGCTCTGTAGTCACCAGGCATCTAGGCTCCTTTGATCTTTTTTGTGCCATTATCCGGACTTGGCTTCCACAAGCTCACTTCATGGTCCAATGACTGCAGGAACTATAGCCATCATGCCTGCATTCTACAACTATAGGGAGAAAGAAGCAAGGTACCCATATTTCCCTTTTCAGGAGCTTTTACATGAAGAAGTCAGACATGATACTTCTGATTACACATTGGCCAGAACTGGAGCAAGGGAGATTTAAAATTGCGGTCCTACAGCTGGGCTTGTTGTCATCCCAGTAAATCAGGGTCCTTTTCCTAAGGAAGAGGATGAGGGAGTATTGGGTAGTGATTAACGCTCTTTACCCCAAGGATATGCACCAAAATATTAATGAATGGTAGTTTACCAGGATATAGAATAACGGGATTTTAGTTCTATTTATTTTCTACAATTTCTTTAGGCATTATTTTGTAAAGAGAATTTTTTAGAGTTATTCGATAAAGAGTTTTATTCAAATGTTGTGTAAAGTAAGAGAAGAGGTCAAAATGAAACCAGCTCAAAGTCATTCTACTAGCCATTGAACTTATCTGAAAGGCTTTACATTTATTGAAGCTCTCATATGTGATAGATACTTCAAAGCAGAGCTCTCTTTAGGTAGACTTTGAAAAAGTTGAATTCAAATAGAATCAAGTAGGATCACATTCATCCTCTTCAGGGAAATATTACCAGTTAGGGTGAAAGTTTTTTTTGTTAAAAGAAAACAAACACCCCCAGATATATGGCTTTAAAAATAGTTTATTTCTCTCCCACATAATAGTCCTGAAGTAAGTCATCCAGGTTGTTTGGCAGCCATGCTCCACACAGTCATTAGGGACCCCGTTGTCTTCTGCTTTAGTGGCTCGGCATCCCTTGGACATTGTCCTCATCTGCATGATCTGTACTGGGTCACAGGTACCTCTGCTCACAGTTGTTCGGAGAGAAACCAGTCACACAGACACATCACTTGCTTCAAAGGGCTAAACATCCTGAAAGCTTTCCATTCTTATTAAACATCAAAGCTTATTAAAGCCAATTCTTCAAAAATGTTTCATATTCGCTTTGAATTTTTAAAAAATAATGAAAACATTTAACTCACATGCATTTATTAGAAACATTTTTAGGACTTTTTTCCTTTCATGTCATAAAAGTAATATAAACACATTTTAAGGTATTTTTAAAAAACCAGAGAGGATAAAGGAAAAAAGAAGACCCATAGTTCTTCTGATCATCAAGTACAACTACTGTTAACAGTTTGGATATTTCCATATGGTATTTTTTTCCTAGGCATTTTTTTTTTAACATTGTTATTGTTCCTGTTTTGTTCTTTGTTGTGGTGGTTTTTGTTTTTGTTTTCCTTTTAGCATAATACTTTACCCGTTATTACAAACCTTAAAAATTTTTTTTTAGATTTACATCCAAGTTAGTTAGCATATAACAAACTCTATTTATAAACATTTTAAACTAAATAGTAAGTTCTCCACAGGTGGGAACCATGTCTTCTTGTTTGTTTTTTCATCCCCAGGATATGGCATGTGCTCAACATAATTAGGGGTTCAGTCGGTGCTTGTTGAATGAATGCATGGCTGGACAGTGACAGCTAAACATTTGTTGAGTTAAAGTTCCATAATTTATTTAGCAAACTCCAAATGGTTGCATCATGACTCTATCATCTATGTGAACTTCAGAGAAAACTAGTCTAGCCTTGGATGATGCATCATCTTTCTCCTTCAGTGTTTTTTTATTTTATTCATTTGCACACTCCTACCATGAAATCACCGCACTAAGAACTGATGCTTCCATGCCACTGTGTGTGTGCATGCTTAACCAAATGTCATTGTTTTCTTTATCTATAGGGTATTTGTTCTCCTTTCAGCCCTCAGACCTCAGTGGTGTAGTAAAGAAATTCCAGACCCAGCCAATAGTACTTGGGCCAAGAAATACCCCACTGTGGAGGTAAGGTTATAATGCCTTAGTGGTGAATTGATAGAATTCCAGTGATCTAAGTTTCCCATTAGTTATCAGGAGACCTAGGTGCTTATTAGTCCCTATGGATAAGCTGAAGCCCCTAGTGCTAGGTTACCAACTGAGTCAACACTCCCATACACAGGAATTTTCTGAAGCTTATGCCCAAAAGACTAAAAGACCCATAGCTTTTCATTCCTCTCTATGCCATAGGTTCCCTCCTCACCTCCATTCTTCAAAAGACATAAAAAAGTATTTTTGCCATTTGCTGAGCACTAGCCTGACTCATCCAAATTTAAGAGAACTGAAGCTTTACTGTGACATTTCCTGTCCTGAGCATTGAACAGATAAATAGAGCTCAGACTATTTTGGCGTTGGCAGGAAGCCAGTCATTCCATTGTGCAAGGAGAAGGTTTCAAAGGAGAGGTTGCTCTGCTGGCAGATGGGAGAATGGAGAGTAAAGGATGGGAAGGGCATTGCTGCATTGCCCGAGGTGGTGAGAACAGCTCACGGGGGGCAAGCTGGTCATCTTGGGTGAGGGGTCTGGGAGTTGGAGGCATCTGGACATGGAGCAACACTGTGCATTTAAGGGGAGCCAATGGGACAAAGTCAGGATGCCAGTATTCTTCCCGTTGCCCAGGACCTTGCAGCCCCACACTCTACTTCTCACACCTGCTAGACATTCTCCTCCAGGATTCTTCTCCTCAGTTATGCAGTGCATTCTCTCATCCACACCCTTCCTCAGGCCAGAAGGTAGTGGTATCAGCCACTGCTCGGGGAAAGAGCAGGTTTCAGCCGTGTCTGTCTCCGTGGGAATTGAGGTCACTGCAATTAGTGCCTTTGAAATAAAGTTTGGGTGCAGACCCACCTCGCCACTCACCATGTGGATGGCCCTTGGGCAACCTGCCTGATGATCTGAGCCCAAGTTTCATCCTCTGTAAAACAGGAATTGATAATATCTCCCATGTATACTGTTTGTGAGGATTGAGTAAGATGCCACGTAAAGCACATGCATCATACAAGGCAAAGATCCTTCACTTTATTTCCGGAAAGACTCACACTTGACATCTCCTTTCACTATTGAGGGATTTTGTCTCTGTTAAGTTACATTAACAAGAACAATAATAATAATAGTAGCTTTTATATATGTGCACATATGATTATATATTTATTTTATACATATTATATACAGGATACATAATTATATATAATATAGTATATAACTATATTATTAAATAATATACTCAGGGGCGCCTGGGTGGCTCAGTCAGTTAAGTAAACTGACTCTTGATTTCAGCTCAGGTCATGACTCGAATTCATGA